CATCTTTCTTCTCCATCTTCACATTGATGAGAATCAGCTATCTGTAGCGATTTTTAGATAGTCTACAGTGATATTTTTATTTAAATGAAATAGATAATGAGGGTATATAATGTAATAAAAATATGATTATCAGATAAGTGGACTCCTCCTAACAAAAAGCTTTATTCTTTGAATAATAAAGCTATGCATGCTCTTTATTGTTCCTTAACTACTGCAAAAACTTAACCGTATTTTAAATTGTACTACTATGCAAGAAATTTAAAAAACTCTGAAAGTTACACACAAGAAAACTTCACAGATAAAAGAGGTAAAACTTACAATACTTGTCAGTAATTATAAATTTTTCAAGATGAAGGTCTCAGAGAGTATTCAAGACATGTTCACCTAATTCATGGACATTGTGAACAAATCAACAACTTTGGAAAAACGTATGACAACAATGAGCTTTGTAAAAAAAATTCTTCATTCTCTTTCTAGGAATTAGAAATTAAATGTAACAGCTAGTGAAGAATAATAAATGTTTTCTAATTTAACTCTAAAGATCCTGTAAGTAATCTTCTCACACATAAAGTTGATTTTGAGAGAGAGAGAGAGAGAGAGAGAGAGAGAGAGAGAGAGAGAGAGAGAGAGAGAGGATTCTTCTGAAGATGATTCAAAGAAGAAGTTGTTAGCCCTAAAAGCTGAAAAGAAAAATCTCAATCTAAGAAGAACAAAGAATCAAGTGTGGACTCTGATTGTGATAACAAAAGTGAGATAGTATTGGTAGTTCAGGATTCAAATCATTCCTAAATACAAAAGATGGGCAACAGTTCATGCATTATAAATGAAATCAGAATTTGACTAAAGGAAAGGAAAACTAAATATGAAAATTCAAATTCTGACTGTATTTGTCATCATTATAGGAAACCTGAATACTACAGAAATGAACGCCCTCTCAACAAGAGTGACTACAAAGGAAAGGATAAAGGCTTCAATGTGACATCATTAGATTTCTCAAGTGAAGATGAAGAGTCAAAAAGTGACTTGAGCTTGAATGATAAAAATTACTATCTCATGGCTAATGCCCATATCCTAAAAGATTTTGAGGATGACAATTTTGATAACAAAATTCATTGGAGAGCTGAGGAGTATGGAAGCACATGGTATTTAGACTCAAGATATTTCCCGGCACATGATAGGCAAGAAAGATTTGTTTCTTAATATCGACAAGAAGAAAGGTGCTAATGTGTCTTTTAGAAAGAACGATAAAGATAAGAATATAGGAGTTGATGATATAGGTAATGATTTTTTTAAACTCGTTAAAGTTTTGCTTGTTGATGATTTAAAGTATAATCTTGTTTCCATTAGTCAGCTGTGTGACAAAGGTATGTCTTTTTTTTTGGAATCTACTATATAACAATTGATTATAAGATTGGTTCAATTGTCTTCACTAAAAATAAGCATATCAATCTATACACATTAAACTTTAATGACATTAAATCTGACATAATAAAATATTTGGTTGCAGAAGAAGATGATTGTGAACTTTGACATAAAAGACTTGGATATGTGAGCATGTGTTTATTACAGAAACTCTCAAAGAAAGAATTAGCTAGAGGTTTGCCTATCATTATTTTTAAAAGTGAGAGTTTACGTAAGGCTTGCAAACAAGAGAAATTTATAAGATCTTCACATAGTTTGAAGAATTTGGTGAGCACTTCTAAACCACTGCAATTACTTAGATCTTTTTGGACTGGTGTCCATACAAAGTTTAGGAGGAAAGAGTTATTGTTTAGTTGTGGTTAATGATTACTCTAGATTTACATGAGTCATGTTTCTAGTAAAAAAGTGAATATTTTAAATATTTTATAATTTTTTCAAAAAGAGTTGAAAAATAAATATGTGTCCTTATTCGTGCCATTCATTCTGATCATGGAGGTGAATTTAAAATTAAAATAAAAAAAACTTTATTGTTAATAAAGGTATCACTCATGATTATATTTTCCTAGAACACCACAACAAAATAGGCTTGTTGAGAGGAAGAATCAAACTTTATAAAGAATGACTAGAACTATGATAAATGAGTATAAATTGACAAAAAAACTTCTCGATTGAGGCAGGGAATACAACATGCTATGTAAGTAATAGGTCTTATTTTTGACCTATGCTAAACAAGACTTCTTATGAACTTTACTACCAAATATCCTTAAATGCCTCATGTCTTCGTATTCTTGGTTGTAAATGTTATATTTTGAATACGAAGGACAAATTAGGAAAATTTGATCTTAAAGTTGATGAGTGTGTGTTTTTGTAGTAAAGCTTATAGAGTATACAATAATTAAAAATCATGTTGAACAAGAAAAGACTTTGGTGGAAAGTGAAAAGAAAGCTTAGGAGGAAACAAAGGACAAGAATGAGAAAAACAAAGGACAACGCTGATAATACAATTCTAGAAGCTTCCGAGGATACTCAAGAAACAACCATTCAAAAAATCAACAAATTGTTTTAACAAGAGATCATCCGATAAGAAATCATCAACCACCTACTTGTTTGAATGACTACTCTTGTTCAATGTCAACCACAAAGGTAGGTAAATGTAAAAAAAAATTCATTCCTTTCTTAGTGATTTCTATAAATATGTGAATTTTATATCTAAAATTGAACCAAAAAATGTGAATGAAGCTATAAATGATGAAAACTAGACAGCTGTCATGCAAGAAGAACTTAATAAATTCACAAGGAATAAAGTTTGGAATTTAGTTTCTAAACTTGAAGATCACTCTATTGTAGAACTAAATGGGTCCCTAAAAACAAATTGGATAAAAATGGTAATGTCGTGAGAAATAATTGCTAGACTTGTTGCTAAGTGTTACAATCAAATAGAATGGATCAATTTTGATAATATGTTTGCTCCGGTTGTTAGACTTAAAGCTATCAGAATTTTTCTTGCTTTTTCTTGTTATAAAGGCTTTAAGCTCTATCAAATGGATGTAAAAAGTATTTTTCTAAACAGATACCTAAATAAAGTTTATGTAGAACAACCCTTAGGTTTTATTGATCATGCTTTTCTAGATTATATATATAAGTTAGATAAAGCTTATTGTGGTCTTAAACAAGCATTTCAAGCTTAATATGATCGTCTAAGTTCTTATCTACTTAAACATAATCTTAAAGAGGTGTTTCCATATAATACCTTATTTGTACAATTTGTTGGTAAAGATATTCTTATTGCACAACTTAATGATATTATTTTCAGAATGACTAATAAGGATCTTTGTCATAACTTTGAAAAGTTGATGCGTGACGAGTTCAAAATGAATATAATGGGAGATCTGAAATACTTTTTAGGGTTTCAGGGGAAGCAAATAAATTTGAAGTGTTCATATCACAGGAGAAGTATGCGAAACAAAATTTTTCGTTATGCTACACAATACCGAATGTTATTTGGGTTTAGAGCAATTTGCCCCTATCTATTCCTCTATAATAATGAGATGATCTCAGATTCACTATTCACACTATAGTAAATGATATAGTAAATTACTGTAGCATTATTACTGTAACGCAGACATGAAGATCTAAGATTCACTATTCATGCAACTGTAATTACTATAGCATTATTGCTGTAACATAGACAGGGAACTGTAGTGTCTAAAAACATTACTGTAGCATTATTACTGTAGCTCAGACGTGATACCGTAGCATTAAAAAATGTTACTGTAGTACTTATAAAAAATTGTATTTGAATACAAAATTACTATAGCGAAAATAAAAAGATGGAGACCATACGGGGTGCACACTAGTTGTTTATATGAGTTGATGACATCTGTATTTTCTCGACAAGCTTCTATTTACTTTTCCATATTTATTAGATCCACGTGTTAGCGTGCTTTGCTACAGGGACCCAAAATATGGGACCAATAAAGGGGACAAGTGAGGTGTCCCCCTCCTATTGGATAATGAGTCGGCCATCATTAATGATGACCAATTCATTATCCAATAGGAGAGGGACACCTCACTTGTCCTCCCTGTTGGTCTCATATTTTGGGTCCTTAAAGAATTTTTCTTATAACTATGCCGGTGGCAATATTTTAGGACTTTCATACAGTGTCTAGGCAGCTTTTTCTATACAATTTTATGCATAATAGGAAGGGGTTTAGATATTTTCTATATTTAAAAAAAGTCTACATAGTGTTTTCTGGTCCAGGGATTTGATTAAAATCAAAGTTCAATAAAACTTATTATTATTTCTTTTTCCCTAAATCGTGATATGAAGCATTCTAGTAGGTCTGAGAAAAATTGGTAAAATATGAATTTTTTAATAAGACATTTAAAATCATGCCTCCAACAAGTTTTAATCTACATTTCCTGACATACATATTTATTAAATTGTGATTAATTTAGCAAACCCGGTCGCGGATACTGATTAATTAATTTGAGATAAAATACGCAAGTAAGTCAGAAATCAGGCTTAATTAAGTAAGAGGAGCACAAGAGGACAAAGTGAATCTGAAGCTATCATTTTAGATATTGACGTTTCAAGACTTCAAGTGCAACTTGCATTTAAAAAAAAGAGAGGCGCTACAGGCATACTCTAATTCACACCATCAACCATACTCTTTCTCTCTCTACAGTGCAGGAGGCCCCACAGGTGATTTTTTTTTAAAAAAATCACATGTGGGGCCTCTTGCACTGTAGAGAGAGTATGTGTGGGATTAGTAATATGCCTTAGAGTATGTCTCTATCATTTCTTAAAAAAAAAGACTTGATGCACTCAAAGTCTCTTTATATTATATAAAATTTAGAGTTGTTACATTAAAAAAATGGCTAAAGTTATATCATATATGGAAGCTAGTATATGAGTTAGCAGTCCTTGCCTTAGGATGGGTCCCACATGTCAGTGACCTGTAATCGCACACTGACCCTATTAAGTTTCCTACATTTTTAGTGCAAAGCATGTAGCCTTCAAGTATTTATTAGTCAAGTACATCTCTCCACCAGTAGTTTTAATCAATAGATCCGTTGGCACTAGACTTTCTCATCTTTTTCTTGAGCAATGGCTTCAATATTTCCTGGCTTGGGATGGATCCTAGGGTTCTCCTTCATCTGCTCTTCTTTGTTTGAGATTTATCGTCGCCATTTGCTATATCAAGATCCTATAGCCAAGAACTTCATTGCTAGCGAGCTCTATAGAACTGCATACCATTTTCAACCTACTCAACACTGGATGAATGGTAATCTCTTCTTTCTCCCCCCCCCCCTCTGATTATCTATGTTTTATTGATATTTAGATTTTAGTAACCTTGCTTCTATGTTAGAAAATCAGCGTTTACCTCTTGGTTAAGCTCAGGTGATATTTGAGGTTTGTTTTGTTTTCATCTTAGGGGAACTAATAGATAAATAAATAGATTAAAATATATATATCATTTTCATCTTCTGTGTTGGTGTAGTGCGGTTTGTCAAAAGATTGCTAATGAAATTAACACGCTTCCTAAATTCATTCACTACAAAACAATTAGGATTTGGGTAAGAATGAAAATCCAATAATTTTAATATTAAAGAAAGGCAAAGATTTGAGATTTCTTGTTTTAGGAAGTCGCATTGGTTAATCTATCAATTTATTTGGTAGGTTAGGTGGTGTTGAAAAAGAAAATGAAAAAGTACAAAGAGAAAAAGAAGACGAGCGACGGAGTGCGTAAATATTGGACCAAAAGTTCTGTTAATATATATAGAAAGAAGTCCATATAGAGAGCTTTTTAAGCCCAATTAAGCCCATACGTAAAGGCCCATGGGCGTTTACTGGCCTACAAGGAGACCATTATGAAGGCAGTTACAGACATTTATCCCCAAACTACCTACGGAGCTTAACTAGATCAATTTCCTTGCTGAAACTAAGCCCATGATGGTGATGAATGATGTATACATCGAATCGAAAAAAAAATTGTCCTTTAAAATACGGAGTACAATTATAGGATGCGTATGTAGCTGGGGTGATGTATATCGTTGAAGAGAAGATGAAGTGCTCCTGATAAGATTTGTATTTTCAATATACGAGGAACAATTTACCAACAGCGCGGGTGCATCATTCCAATCATCCACTAAACAAATCAACAAATATGATATAGCAGTGGTCTCCCCGCCACCAAGATCCGAATTCAATTCTAAAAGCTTAGATACCTTTTCCTTAACAAAATGGTTTGGGAGTTACAACTCTGATGATTTCTTTAACGAATTCTATTAGCAATCTCTCTAATTTACCGGATCTCTTTTCAATTTGCATGAATTTGACCCGAACTTGTTTCGACCAGACCCGAACGCACCAATGTACTACAACGGTGTCTACCACCTCTTCTACCAGCACAATCCAGACGCCGCCACGTGGACCGCCAACATCTCATGGGGCCACTCAGTCTCAGCGGACCTCGTCCACTGGACCGGGCTCGAACTCGCTCTAACCCCATCCGACCCCTTCGAAATCTAGCGGGTGCTGGACGTGGAATCAGCCACAATACCTACCCGGTAGCAAACCCGTTATCCTCTACACCGGCCTTGACACCGTCAGCAGGCAGGTCCAAAACATCGCGTACCCGAAGAACTTGTCCGACCCGTTTCTTCGCGAATGGATCAAACCCCGCTACAACCCGGTGATCGAACCACACGGAAGGATTGACGCGGCTCTATTTCGTGACCCAAGCACGGCTTGGCTCGGCAGAGACGGTTCTTGGAGGCTAACTGTGGGCACCGTGATCGACGGGAACGGACTGGCTATGCTATACAAGAGTAAAGATTTTGTGAAGTGGGTTCCGGCTGAGAACCCGCTATATTACACAAACGGGTCGGGTATGTGGGAGTGCGTGGATTTTTTCCCTCTCGGGGAGGCACGGGGCGTGACAAAATACATGTTGAAGGTCAGCATGTTTGATGTTTCGTATGATTATTACGCACTGGGGACCTACGATGAGGAGGGAGGTGTTTTTACGAGAGATGATGCGTCGTCTACCGACTACAGAACGTGGCCGATGATCGACTACGGGAGGGTGTACGCGTCGAAGACGTTCTTAGATGAGGCTAAGCAGCGCAGAATCTTGTGGGGATGGTCGAACGAATCGAATAGTATAGCAGACGATGTGGCCAAAGGCTGGGCCGGTATTCAGGTAACAACATTTAACTGAATGTGACAGAATATGTCCATGTTCGAACTAAGTTATTCCTCAATTATATGTAATGCTCATGTGGGTGTCATGTGACATAGGGAGATTAATTTCTCAATGTGTAAATTATTGCAGAGAGGCTTCCATAATCTCTTATAAATAGGTATAAATAATAGGGAGATAATTCATTGAGACAGGCTAGTATTCAAAGTGTTAATTAATGAAAAGGATTAAGGTTAGCAATTGCCCACCCTCTATGGTTGAGATGCAATCAACAGTATTAGGGTTAATTGCGGATAGACCATCTGTGGGATTGCTTTTGACTCTTTTACCCTCAGGGAGTTCATTGTCAAAAAATAATTTTCTCATTCCAAGTGACTATGACAGAGAAGAAAAAGTTTCATTGGGACGTCTTGTTAGTATTTGTTTGTAAAAAATAAGATAGTCCCACATTGGAATTTTGAGCATTGTTTTAGAGGTTTAAAAGTATTGAATGCTTAGTGGGCTTTGAATAATGGATCAAAGTATAGGCTTCTAAACCCACGTGCGGGTAGCGCGAATAATGCGCGATTTTGACGCGATTATTAGACGCACTTATCACTTTGCACGCTTGCCGCTACCGCTTAAATGTTCTATTTTTTATATATATAATTATATATTGAATATATTTTATTTTTAATATTATTTTAAAATTTAAAAATTATGAAAAGACAAGACTGTTGAAAAGTGGCTGTTTAATCCAAGGGGTGTTTTGAAAAGTTGTGACTGTTGGAAGCACCTTTTCAAAATCTATAAATAGTTTATATTTTCAGATATCAAATACAATTCTTTCTCTGAATCTTTTCTAGCAAAAACATCTGCAATATTACAAACTTGTTTCACAACGAATTAAGGAAAATTCCAGATTTGCTTACTGGAATTTTCATTTTCTGTTGTATCCTGGGAAGAAAATTTGCATTAACCCGAAGCAACTTTGAATATCAAGTGGGGGCAAATATTTCTTTAAGGAAAGTGTTTCACGCCTCAGAATTTCTGTCTCCTTCAATATTAAAACTAACAATCTTAAAGAAATATCTCTGCTACAATGGAGTCGGAATCAATCAAGGTGATGAATCAAGACATGGTCAAATTGGACCGATTCGACGGGAACAATTTCTCTCGCTGGCAAGACAAGATGATGTTTCTTCTTACAGCATTGAAGATCTCCTACATTCTCAACCCCAATCTGCAGCCCATAGAAGATCCAAAACCAAGTGCAGACGGCAAACAACCTACTGAGGAGGAAATAGAAGAAATCAAAAAGCAAAAGGCAAAACGGGAGGAAGATGAAGTGTTGTGTCGCGGTCACATTCTGAACACACTTTCGGACCGATTATATGATCTTTTCACGAGGATAAAGTCGGCAAGGGAGATCTGGAACGCACTGGAATTTAAATACAAAGCCGAGGAGGAAGGTACAAACAAGTATTTAATTGCAAAATATCTAGAATATAAAATGGTTGATGACAAGTCTGTCCTAGAGCAAGTTCATGAATTGGAGGTTCTGGTTAATAAGATTCATGTTCTCAAAATAGTTCTTCCAGAGTCTTTTCAAGTTGCTGCAATTATTGCAAAACTACCATCAACTTGGAAAGATTATTCGAAGAAACTAATGCATAAAACTGAGGATATCTCTTTGGAACAACTTCAGAAGAATCTTAGAATTGAAGAGGAGTCACGCATACGTGATTCGAAAAATTCTGTCCAAAGTGATTGTAAGGTCCACACCGTGGAGAAGAATGAATCTTCGGTAAAAAATGTGAACCTTCAAGTAAAGAAAAGTGGACAACACTTTAAAAAGAAGAATTTTCAGAAGAAAAAGGGGTCCTGTTTTATTTGCGGCAAGCCTGGACATTTTGCTAAAGAATGTCGTCACAGAAAAAATAATAATGTAAAATCAAAGGCTTCTGCAAATATGATAGAAGAGAATCTGGTCGCTATGATTTCTGAAATCAATATGGCTTCTGTTAAGTCTGGATGGTGGCTTGATTCTGGAGCAACAATCCACGTTTGCAAGGACAAATCCTTGTTCAAAGGATTTGAAGAAATTTCGGAAATTACAGAAGTGCAAATGGGGAATAATGCTTGTGCAAAGGTTGCTGGAAAAGGGACTGTTGATATAGATTTTACTTCTGGAAAGAAATTGACTCTTATAAATGTTCTGTATGTACCCGAAGTTAGAAAGAACTTAGTTTCTGTTGATCTTCTTTGTAAGAAAGGGTTTCGGGTTGCTTTTGAGTCAAATAATGTTATCCTGTCTAAGAACGGGATGTTTGTGGGAAAGGGCTACTCTTGTGATGGAATGTATCAACTAAGTATTAATAATAAAGTTATATCTTCTGTTTATATTGTTGAGTCTTCATATTTATGGCATGATCGCTTAGCACATTTAAATTTTCGCTATTTGAAAAATATGAGAAAGTTAGACTTCATTAACTTTAATGGTGAATTTGATAAATGTGAAATTTGTGCTAAGTCTAAATTAACAAAGAAATCTTTTCCAAGTGTTTCTCGCAAAGATTCTAAAGTTTTAGATTTAATACATTCTGATATATGTGAATTGAATGGTATGTTAACTAGAGGAGGAAAAAGATACTTTATCACTTTTGTTGATGATTGCAGTAGATATATGTATGTTTATCTTTTAAGAACAAAAGATGAAGCTTTTGATATGTTTAAAAAATACAAAACAGAAGTTGAAAATCAACTTGAAAGGAAAATTAAAGTATTACGTTCTGATAGAGGTGGTGAATATTTTTCTGATAACTTTAATACTTTTTGTGAAGAACATGGCATTATTCATCAATGTACAGCACCTTATACTCCCCAACAGAATGGTTTAGCCGAAAGAAAAAATAGAACTTTACAAGAAATGATAAATTGTATGCTTAATAATGCTAAGTTACCTTTAAATTTATGGGGAGAAGCTTTGTACACAGCATGTTATATTCATAATAGGATTCCCTCTAAAAAGTCAAATATAAGCCCTTATGAGTTATGGAAAGGTAGAAAGCCTAATCTGTCATATTTTAAAGTGTGGGGGTGTTTGGCTTATTATAGAGTTCCTGATCCTAAAAGAACAAAACTTGGACCTAGAGCCTTTAAAAGTGTTTTTGTCGGATATGCTGAAAATAGCAAAGCATATAGACTACTTGATTTATCTTCTAATACTATTGTTGAATCTAGAGATGTTGAATTCTTTGAAAATAAATTTTCTGTAGATTCTGAAAATGTTGAAAATGTTCCTATTCTGCTTAACTCTAATAATTTTTCTAGTTCTGATTTTCATGCTAAGGAAACGAATATATCTAAAGAAATATCAGAGCCAAGAAGAAGTACTAGAGTAAGAAAAGAGAAATCTTTACCTTCAGATTTTATTTCTCCTGAACAAATTATTTTTCTTGTTGAAGGTGATAGGAATAATAATGTTTTAAATAAACATCCTATAAGTTTTAATCCAGATGATGATCCTAAAACCTTTATAGAAGCAATGTCATCTAGAGATGCTTCATTTTGGAAAGAAGCTGTCAATGATGAAATGGATTCTATAATGGGAAATAGTACTTGGATTTTAGTAGATTTACCTCAAGGATCAAAGCCAATAGGATGTAAATGGGTTTTTAGAAGAAAATATCATTCTGATGGTTCTGTTCAAGCTTTTAAGGCTAGATTAGTAGCCAAAGGGTTTAGACAAAAAGAAGGCATAGATTATTTTGATACATATGCTTCTGTTCAAGCTTTTAAGGCTAGATTAGTAGCCAAAGGGTTTAGACAAAAAGAAGGCATAGATTATTTTGATACATATGCACCTGTCGCACGTATAACATCTATTAGAATTCTTTTTGCTTTGGCATCTATACATAAGTTATGTGTGCATCAAATGGATGTCAAGACTGCTTTTTTAAATGGAGATTTAAATGAGGAGGTTTACATGAAACAACCAGAAGGTTTCATTCTTCCAGGAAATGAAAGAAAAGTATGTAAACTAATTAAATCTCTTTATGGTCTTAAACAAGCACCAAAACAATGGCATGAAAAGTTTGATTCTGTTATTCTGTCTTATGGTTTCAAACATAATAGTGCTGATAAGTGTATTTATTCTAAATTCACTGATAAATATGGTGTGCTTGTCTGCTTGTATGTGGATGACATGTTAATATTCGACACTAATATGATTGGCATAAACGAGACTAAAGAGTATCTATCTTCTATGTTTAAAATGAAAGATTTAGAAGAAACAGATACTATTTTAGGGATCAAAGTTAGAAAACATAGTGGGGGTTTTTCTTTAAGCCAATCACATTATATTGAAAAAATAGTGAATAAATTTAATCATCTTGGTTTTAAAGAAGTTAACACTCCTTTTGATCCCAGTGTCAAATTGACTGCTAATTCTGGTAGAGCTGTAGCACAGCTTGAGTATGCTAGTGCAATTGGTTCTTTAATGTATGCCATGCATTGTACTAGACCTGATATTTCATTTGCTGTATGCAAATTAAGTAGATACACTAGTAATCCAAGTGTAGAACATTGGAAAAGCATTTCCAGGATATTTGGATATTTAAAGAAAACCAAAAATCTGTGTTTGTTCTATAATGATTATCCGGCTCTATTAGAGGGATACACCGATGCAAGCTGGATGACTAGTGTTGGAGACAACCAATCCACTTCTGGAATGGTTTTTACACTTGGTGGAGGAGCAGTTTCTTGGGCAAGCAAGAAACAAACATGTATCTCACACTCCACCATGGAATCTGAATTCATTGCTTTAGCAGCAACTGGTAAGGAGGCTGAATGGATTAGGAACTTATTGCTAGATATTAAGTTATGGCCGAGTCCAATGCCTCCTATCTCTATCTATTGTGATAGTCAAGCCACTTTGTCAAGGGCTTATAATTGTACATATAATGGTAAGTCTAGACACATAAGTCTAAGACATGAATATGTGAGACACTTGATACAAGATAGTGTCATAACTATTGTCTATGTCAAGACAAATAAAAATTTGGCTGATCCATTTACAAAACCTCTAGCAAGAGAGGTAGTAAAGATGACATCAAGTGAAATGGGGCTGAAACCTTATATTTAAAATCACCAGGAATGGTAACCCAACCATTTACTAGAACTAAACTGGTTAAATGGTTTAAATGGGTAATAACAAGTTTCTGAAAGTGATTGATTGATATTGACGCATTAAGCCCTAAAAGATAATGTCAATATCGTCCATTACGGAATAAGAGGATGAGTTATGCTCTTAATGAAAGTCTAATACATTATTGTTGTGTGTTTAAAGTAATGGAAAACACATTGTAGACGTTTCACCTATATGAACTTAGAAGTGGTGCCGCTTCTTAAAAGAACTAAAGGTTTGTTCTTTAAAGAGTTCATGAACCAGGAATAAGCACAAGGCCATAACAGTGCTAAAATATTAATTCTCATTGAAACAAGAGATTAGTGTATGTACAATATTCTCCGGTTCTATCACAAAGAGTAATTAGTTTAATGTTAAGGCAACTAACGACTTTGATAGAACTTTGAGGTATTTGTACTAAGTAAAGGTTTAAATCGAAAGATACCTCTACATATGTATACTTATCTCATTTTGTACATATTGCAGATTATTTTTAAATATAATACTATTAAAATGTTTTTTCAAACAAAGTGGGGGATTGTTAGTATTTGTTTGTAAAAAACAAGATAGTCCCACATTGGAATTTTGAACATTCTTTTAGAGGTTTAAAAGCATTGAATGCTTATTGGGCTTTGAATAATGGATCAAAGTGTAGGCTTCTAAACCCGCGTGCGGGTAGCGCGAATAATGCGCGATTTTGACGCGATTATTAGACGCACTTAGCACTTTGCACGCTTGCCGCTGCCGCTTAAATGTTCTATTTTTATTGAATATATTTTATTTTTAATATTATTTTAAATTTTAAAAATTATGAAAAGACAAGACTGTTGAAAAGTGGCTGTTTAATCCAAGGGGGGTTTTGAAAAGTTGTGACTGTTGGAAGCACCTTTTCAAAATCTATAAATAGTTTATATTTTCAGATATCAAATACAATTCTTTCTCTGAATCTTTTCTATCAAAAACTTCTGCAATATTACAAACTTGTTTCACAACGAATTAAGGAAAATTCCAGATTTGCTTACTGGAATTTTCAATTTCTGTTGTATCCTGGGAAGAAAATTTGCATTAACCCGAAGCAACTTTGAATATCAAGTGGGGGCAAATATTTCTTTAAGGAAAGTGTTTCACGCCTCAGAATTTCTGTCTCCTTCAATATTAAATCTAACACGTCTACATGCAAAAGTAAAACTAGAAGGGTAGCTAGTTAGAAACAACGGCACTACATCAATTAACTCTTGTTTTTTAGTTAATATAAATGAGAGTTTAAACTAGACATATGTAAATAAGCTTTAGTAGTTTCGTGTGCTCCGTGGAATTCAGTATGAGCTCATGAGTTCTACTTACAATATGTCTAGACCTTTACATATATAATTACGTATTTATTTTCAGACTGTTCCAAGGGTTCTTAGTCTAGACACAGATGGGAAAAGACTGGTTCAATGGCCAATTGAAGAGCTTGAATCACTTAGAGGGGAGCAAATCCATTTACAAGACATTGAGCTCGAAACAGGAAGCCAAGTTGAAGTCAGAGGACTAAAAGTTTCACAGGCTAGTATCTTTACAAATATTATCATTTAATCCATTCATTTTACTTGATGATGAGCAATTAACTTATAATTTTTTTTTTTTATTAAAACAGGCAGATGTAGAGGTAGAATTTGAGTTGCAGAGTTTAATTGGGGCCGAGCCCTTTGATGCTAATTGGATTGTAGACCCCCCGAAGCTTTGCCGTGAAAAGGGTGCTTATGCAAACCATGGTGGGATTGGTCCCTTTGGTTTGTTGGTTTTGGCTGCTGATAATTTGGAGGAAAATACTGCTGTCTACTTTAGAGTTTTCAGAGCAGAGGGAAGCTATAAGGTTCTCATGTGTGCTGATCAACGAAGGTATGTGAAATACAGATTTATAACCTTATGATTAAGCAATGTTATTTAGAAGCTGGTATAAATTTGGGGTTAAAATGCACTTCTTCATTCTTAGATTGAGATGATTAGATAGATATTATCTAGAGTAAATGAGGGTTAGTGTGTCCCTTTCCAAACTAATATTATGTGTCACTGGCATGGTACACATCCACAGCCCTACAATCTAGATGATCAATACATTCAGATGGTAGCCGATGATGTAAATGTCATTCATGTTTACTCTTTTATCTGCAGCTAATTAATCAAGGGTCTTGTTGGTTACGCGTGTAACAATTATTAGCCGTTTTTTTCTTTAATAAAATCCTAAATGTATGTTCTTGCACTTAATTAATAAATAAAATAACTCCTCCACACTTACCTATAAAATTCAAACAGGTCCTCCAAGAGATCCGAATTATACAAGCCAGCATCCGGAGGCTTTGTAGACATAGACATAAAGAAAGAGAGGAAGATATCTTTGAGAACCCTGGTAAGTCTTGCAAAATAAATTTAATCACATTCTTAACTGAAAACATTTTTAGTAAGTTTTGTTAATTGCATTGTCACTAACTTATGTATGAATTAATGTGGTAATCAGATTGATCACTCTGTGGTAGAGAGCTTTGGAGGTGGTGGAAGAACTTGCATCACTTCTAGAGTTTATCCTACAATTCTCTTAAATGACAACACTCATCTTTATGCTTTTAATTATGGGACTGAGACTGTAAAGATTTCTGAGCTTAAGGCATGGAATATGGCTCAAGCTCAAATAAGTTAAAAGAGGAGGTAAATAAAGCAAAATAAATCATGTGGTTGTCACATTGAGTGCTACACTTGATGCGTGGTGTTTATCAACTGGGATCAGTCATGGAGCACAATTTTGATACTCACATGTTTGGTAGAAGTTGCAAATTCAAGAATTTTATTGTTCGCATACAGTTGTAATTCAACATAGACAAAGTATAGGATTTTATTTTGAGAGTTTTCAATTATGTGCATTTTTTATTTTTATGTTTGTTTTTTGTATTTCAGATACAGATGAGCAGTGTAAGTTTTAGGTGGGCT